AAGTTTGTTTTGCTCTGCGCTCCAGGCCCCGCGCCAGGCGTGGGCGGGTCTCGGCTGTTTGTCCGGTTGTTGTGAGTTCCCTCCCGGAGCCCACGCGCCTCTTCACGGGAGCGCGGCCCGTTCTGTTCCAAGGAGCCCGGCTGGGCCACGGGAAGCCCCTGCCCTTTCCTTTCTTATCTTTGCTTTTCTTTCAATATATTTTTATTGATTTCAGAGAGGAAGGGAGAGAGAGAAACATCAATGATGACAACCATGGATCGGCCGCCTCCTGCACGACCCACACTGGCCAGGCCTCCACCCCCCGTTTTCAAATGGGGAAGCCGAGGTTCGGGGAGAACAGGGGCAGCCGCTTAGGACTAAGGTGCCGGCTGGCCGGCTGGTTCTGCAGGAAGGAGGCTCCACCTGGAACTCGTCTCCCTGCCTTTCCCAGGAGCGGGACAGGAGAGTCCTTCCCTGGGTGAGGTGGGCAACTGCACCTCCAGAGAGGAGAGGGCTGGGTCCGGACAGAGTGCGAGGTGCAGGGGCACCCAGACCCCAGGCACCCAAACCCCCAGGCACCCAGACCCCAGCACCCAGACCCCAGGCACCCAAACCCCTGGAACTTTCTGACTCAGACCAAATGTGTATCGGGAACCAAATACCAAGGGCTCGTCTTTAGTTAACATTCCTTTCTTGGATCCTCTCCTGGGTTGCAAGACAAATGTCCCAGTCCCTTCAAAGACCATGAGGCGGCCCCCCGTCCCCAGGAGCTGCAAGTTTTCTGGGGAGTCCGGTCCCCAAATCCAGGCAGCCCTGTGTGTCCTGAGGGAGAACAGTCTCGAGATGTGTAAACACGCGAGTTAAGTACAATTTCCAAGTGAAGTAAAAATGGGAAGGTACATGCCCGGCCAGTGTGGCTCAGTGGTGAGCGTCCACCTATGAACCAGGAGGTCGCGGTTCGATTCCCGGTCAGGGCACAGGCCCAGGTTGTGGCCTCCATCCCTAGTCAGAGGCGTGCAGGAGGCGGCTGATACATGATTCTCTCATCATTGATGTTTCTCTCTCTCTCCCTCTCCCTCCCTCTCTGAAATCAATAAAAATATATTTTTTTAACGAGAAGGTACAGGATATGCCCCTGTTTGTGTTCAGTACCCATATGAATAGCCCCATTCCTGTCCCTCTGACCGGATTGAAACCATTGAGAAGAACGGGTGAGAAACCAGTCTCGGTGCCTCCTGAGGGAGGGAGGGCAGTCAGGAGACGGAGGGAGAGACCGTGTCCCCTCGTGCGTCCTGGGCCTCCTGGCTCACGTCACCCTGAGACTCCTCGTTCTGTGCACTCAGGTGCTCACACTGACAAGAACAACACACTTAAAATTAATGTGCTGAGTCCTCTCAGCTGTGGAGCTCCAGGCTGCGGGTGCCCCCACAGGCGCAGCTCTCCCAGCAACAAGCAAAACAAGGCATGGAAGGGAGGGCCTGGGGTGCAGTGGGGGCAGACAGCAGTGCCCGCGGTGCAGTGGAGGCAGACAGCAGTGCAGGGGGTGCAGTGGGAGGCAGACAGCAGTGCCCGGGGGTACAGTGGGGGCAGACAGCAGTGCCTGGGGTGCAGGCTCACACTGACAAGAACAACACACTTAAAATTAATGTGCTGAGTCCTCTCAGCTGTGGAGCTCCAGGCTGCGGGTGCCCCCACAGGCGCAGCTCTCCCAGCAACAAGCAAAACAAGGCATGGAAGGGAGGGCCTGGGGTGCAGTGGGGGCAGACAGCAGTGCCCGCGGTGCAGTGGAGGCAGACAGCAGTGCAGGGGGTGCAGTGGGGGGCAGACAGCAGTTCCCGGGGTGCCGCGCGGGGGCTCACAGCCATGGGGAAGGCAGGAGACTGGGAAGAGGGTGCTGTGTTTAGGGAATGACCAGGGGTTCTCTCTCTGGGGAGGATCTAGGGGCAGAAAAACAGCGAACCCAGACTTTCCACGGGAAGGTGACGTGACAAACGCCGTGAGGACGGAGAGCACACCCAGCTGCGGGAGGCGGGTGGATGGTCCCCGAGCGGCCAGGACGCACAGAGGCCGGTGGGAGGCCGGGCACAGCTGCAGGGAGACAGGGAGGCCCAGGACGGAGCCTCCTGCACAGCCCGTCCCCGCAGGCCTTCCTGAGGCGGTGCCAGGCCTCACGCCCCTCCACGTCCTCTCCTCTGAGAAGCTCCCCAGGCTCCCGGCTGGGCTGAGGCGC